GCCGGATTTGCGTCGGCGCGGACACAAGGCGGACGCACGCGCGCTCGCCCTCTCTCCTTCCCGGGCCCATTGGTCGGTGGCACATTGGCCTCTCCACATCCAACAGCACACCGTCGCCGCCTGCTTCGTCGCCAATGCCGCCAGCCATTTTTTCCGATAGAACAAGAATACATAGATAGTTCTAGCGTACACAGATAAAAGAAAAGACTAACTACTCGTCGTCGCTTTCCGACTCTGACTCGGTAATGTCCTCCTCCGACGTATGAATGTAGGCGTCAGCATACAGCTCGTCCTCGAAGTACCACCCCGATGTTTCGGGTAGCTTCAGTTTCAATTGAGCGGCTTGCTTCCGCGCACGCTTGTCCTCCCGATAGGCGGCTCGCTCCGTCCTCCTCGCCTCCCTTTCCGTCCTCCTTTGCTTGTAGAACTGGCGCTCGTCGACGATGTCCTGCGGGAAGCGGTCGCGCCACACCACCATGGCTTCCACGTCCATCTCGGCGATGACAAGGCGACACTGCTGCCTCCGGTGGACATGACGATCCTTGTCGGTGAAAAGCCGCAGGAGAGATGCTAGATCCTGCGCCTGCTGGCTCGACACGTCAGGAAAATTCATCTCCCCACGAGGCCTCAGGAGGCGCTAGGCCGCCACGTCGTGCGCGCGGGCCGCCTCCTCTGCGGTGTCGAAGGTGCCGAAGATAAGGCGTTTCTCGCCAAAACAGATCTCGGAGGAGAAGGCATCGGAGCGGCGCTCGCGGACTCCGCGAAAATCTGATGCGCCCAGGCGGCGAATAAACATCGTGGCGCAGAGGCGGCTAGGCTAGTGAGAGGGGACGCGACGAGTGGGCGACGGAAAAAGTGTGGAGGGAGCGCCTTCTTATAACGAGTGCCGGCCGCGGCACACGCGAACCTTTCCCGCGTGCTGGAGCGCCAAAACCAGCGCGCGCTAGCCCGATTTTCGTCCGCGCGCGCTGGAGCGCCAAAACCAGGACGACGACATGGCCGCTGGCATGATCTACAGCGCGTGCGTTCATGAAATGGGCCGGCGCGTTGGGTGCACTACTGACTCAAATGAAAAATTGGGCGGACAACCGGTGGGCGGCCGACCCAAACAGACAAAATACGGACAGAAGCGTCATCCATTTGGGTCGACCCGTTGAAGTTGCTATAAGTGTTCTTTTCTTTGTTGGACAAGTCCTGGCGGTAAGTGCTTTCTGACAACAGCGACGATGAACTATGACGACAATGATGAACGAAGCAGACTAGTGTGATCCTGGCAAAATACCTTTTACACCGAGTGGCACAGCGGTACAAAGCTAACTTCCGATCCCTAATCGATCGTTTGCTGGACGTGAACGTGAACTAGTACTGTTATGCACTAGTACTTCTAGCCGGACAGGGACACGCAACAATAGTCATAGTTGTTGAAATTTGCCTGTCTTTCTTCATTTGTTCAGACTTTTGAATGAGTTAAATGGTGTATGAATTCAATACGGCATCCGATCTAAGAGGTTTAAAGTTCAAAACCGTGCCTACACAGTATTAAAAAAATGAAATTTTCTACCTACATAAATCCCACGTCGGAAGACTAAATAAGTCTAGACATGGTGGGTGGGGGGGGGGGAGGGGGGGTTAAATATATTGGCAGTCTTTCTCCATCAGTCAGACTTTTGGATGAGTTGGTTGGTGTACTAGACTGAACTTAAAGTCTTCTGCTTTCCTCATCTTCTTCGTTGCACCATCAGTAAATGTGTCTTTGATGGGTCAGCATCTAGGGCGGTGTCTGTGTCCCCTTATAATGACTTCCTTGTCTCTCCTCTATTATAGGAACATGTCATTCATGTTTTTCTTTCTATTGCTACTATTTTTTGCGGGTATTGTTCGTTGCTTCGACTCACGGTACAAACTTTACAGCAGTGCTTACATGTATATATAGCTGCTAGTCTCTAGGAAATACTCCCTCCATTCTCAAATACTTGTCTTTCTAGGCATTTTAAATGGACACAACATACGAATGCATGTAGACATATTTTATACTATACATTCACTCATTTTGCTCCGTATGTAGTTATTTGTTGAAATCTCTAGAAAGACAAATATTTGGGAACGAAGGGAATATCAAACTAAATTGGTCCCTACAAAAAAAACATACCAAATCAGTGACTAGTACTAATCCTACTCGGCTACATGTAAGTTGTGTTTAACTGCAGCATCACCCTCTAAGCACGGCGTGGTCACTTCACAGCTTGAACGACAATTCTACTTCACGTCTTCAAGAACTACTCACAATACAAAAGTATTGCTTAGGATGTCCGATAGCTGATTATCGGTGCAAATATAGTAGACATTAATCTTACCGTCTTCCGCGCATTCCGTTATGTAGTGATCATTTGTGGAGTACCTGTCCACCGGCGGCCGGGGTCCGTGGAAACTTGCCGTCGGGCACTCAGCGCGACAGATCTGCCACCATGGACCTCTCGGCCACAAACTGGTGAAGTTCCACAACAGGGACAGCCGACAAGACCACTTCCTTGTGAGAGCGTTCGACGCCCCTGGCTTTTTCTTCCTGTCGCCGGCGCCGATGGTCCTTTCATTCTGTGCTCCGCCGCGGCAGTGGACTAGTGTATCAATGAAGGAAGGAATATGGTTACTACCCATGTGTGGCTGCTGTACTGTTGTGAAGAATCTACAAAAATAGTTCACTATAGTTAGTCTTTTGTGCCGATCGCTGCGCTTGGTCTTTTCAATTAGTTCACATAACTTTCATTTTATGTATCAAATAGTTAACTTTTGGGCTGCAGTTATTCTCTACACCAATGGTGTAACGGGTCATCTAATATATGAGTTAAGGAAGGGTTATGGCTACTACCCACGCAAGGGGGCCCGAACTGTAGTAAACTTGTGCCCCGTGTTCGTTCAATGGCATGTGGTGACTCTCCACTACCGAATAAATCACATGCGACTATTGTACTATTGTGAAGAATCTACAAAAATATCCTCAACAACATTCTCCCGTGTCGTCGCGGCCACGCCCACTTTCTCTTGGGTAGACATATTTGTGATGGTTGGTCGATGTTGTCATATTTTTGGGAACATTTTCATCTCTTGAGCTCTAGCACACTTATACACCTAACTAATGTGCCCTATTGCAGATCACCCAAAGGCCGAAAGATACGCAATTATGCACGCATGATTGAAAGAGTGACTAAGCTTATGGCAATTGGTCACATACAATCTGCTGAGATACATCCCACAAATCAAGCATGAAAAAGAAAAAGAAAAGGTTGTAAATCATCGATATTTTTCCTTCTTTTATCTCCCTACCATTGTTCTATTCTTAAAGGCCCTGATGGGATTGCGAGTAGTATCTCTGATGGGACCTTGTTTCTTTGTTCCCGGTACTAATGTTAATAGCTTATTGATATTTATACATAAAGCAGAAGAGACTAGCTAGCTAGCTTACTACTTTAGCCTTTCTTTATGTATCTTAGTCTAATCATGGAACTTGTGCCTCAATTCTATATTTAGAGACATATTAGCAAAGAGATGCTCTACGCTTTGGATGTCACTCACGGTTAGTATATGTTCAACGAAATATTTATATGTTATTTCCCAGTATTGATCAAAATAAACACATGGACCAAGAAAACAGTGGCCTGGAGAAAACGGTATAACTGCTTTCTAGAAAACTGAGTATTTGGTTACTTGCTATATTTTTTGTACATCAAACATTTTTACTTGCTTTAGTTAGTTGTCAACAAATTACATAGCACGGATTTGTTTTCACAACCTCTTAAAATACATAGAACATCTTAGTTCGGCAATCCTGCCTAATCGGGTAAATAAGCAGGAAAATATCTATTACGTTTTCCGTACAGGAGCCAGTCCATCCCTGTCTAGAATGTGATTCTGAAAGTTGTATTCTTTGTTGGAAGCCTGTGAGAGTTTTTCCTTAGCTCTAAAAGGTTAGCCCAATATCAGATTTTTATTATTTAGACATCATGATGGTATAGGATGATAAAGAGAAATAAAGTGGACGTGAAATTTCTTTGTATGATATTGGCGTGAATTTAGTGCATATTATATAGCAATTCAACAACGGTGATTTTGACCATTGGATCTTCATCTAATTAACGGATGTATTCATGTTTTCTTTTAATAGATTTTGAGCTGCCAATTAAACTGCAGAAATCATGCATCAACCATCCCATCGATGTTAGAACTATTAGTTATCTTATTATCAGGATTCGGCCAATATGTTTGTCACACACACATAAGCGACAAGGGTATGTATCAAGCTTTGTTGGTTTATCACGTACGCCACAAGCGTGCCACAAGGAACATGTGCACATGTTCTTTTATAGGATTTACAGACCAACGCGTGTTTAATCGTGTAATGCATATATAGGGTTAGGGTTCGAGACGAGGTGTTTGTGAAGACATTCACTCGTTCCTGGGATTTGGAATGTCGAGAAAACCGACAGCCCCTTGTGCTTCCAGATGGTGCAGGGAATAAAACTGGAGCAGCAGAGGCAGATTTAAATGTATTTATTTCCATCATCCATGGTTCTACATGTATATATCAATTTTTCCCACAGAAAAGTGTAAATGTATACATATGAATTGATTTCCATGGCGAATGTACATGTGCCAAAATTCTAGCTAGCTTCCCCTAGAAAAACATTTTAGCAAGGTAGTCAGAAGCTTCCTTAAGAAAGAACAGAAAAGAAAAGAAAAGAAAAGAAAAGAAATGGTACGTGATTCGTGCCCTTTGTTTGTTGAAGGAAGTAGTTTATAGTAGTATAACAGTGCATGCATGGCTACCGCTTGGTCCGTCCATGCGTACGTAGTTTTCCTATATATAGAGAGAGATTAGAGAGCGGAGGACCAACACAAGTCATAAGCGGCCATCGATCTATCCCAGGCCACACGTAGTAGCACAACAATCATGACGATTTCCGCTATGCCGCTGCTATTGCTTCTTCTTGTCAGCTTGTCTGTAGGTTCTTGTGTGGGTGACCATCATCAGCTCCTCAACTTCATGACAGTGAAAACAAGCTCCCTAAAGCATATCGCAGAAGGCGCCGTCTGCTCCGGACACAAGGGTGAGTATCTAAGGGTACTGCATGCATGCATATGCATACGTTATTTAGTACATACTCGCTCCGTTCGGAATTACTTGTCGCAAAAATAGATGTATTCGAAATATGTCTAGATACATCCATTCCTGCTATAAGTAATTCCCGATACATCCATTCCTGCGACAAGTAATTCCGAACGGAGGAAGTACGTCATATAGTAGCTAGCTTAATATTGAGCTCATTGATGGATATGCATGCGTGTTAACCTGTCGTCTTCGTCTGTCGACAAACAGTGACAATGCCGTCCGGCGACGGTGTCAGGTGGGTACCAATGAACCGCCCGCACGGCCCATGCTCGTCGGCGGCGGCGACTACGGTCGTCGACGGCATGCTCCTGTGGGACCAGCTACGCACCAGCTCAATCCGGAGGAAGCTCTCCGGCGGCAGGGCCGGCGATGGCCTGCCGGTCATCCACTCCCGTGAAGCCAAAACTAGCAACATCGACAGCAGTATGACTGCGAAAAGCACGCTGGGGGGCGGCGGCGGGACAAGCTCCACGACAATGGAAAGGACCAGCGAACACTTGTACTCCAAGGTGAGCCAAACGGTGGTGGTGGACACGAGCAGCGACATTCCGTGGGTGCAGTGCCTCCCGTGCCCCGCCCCGCAGTGTCACCTCCAGAAGGACCAACTCTACGACCCCGCCAACTCCAGCACGTACGCACCTATCCCCTGCGGCTCCCCTGCCTGCACGGAGCTCGGTAGCAGCCACAGCAGTGGCTGCTCCGCCGGCTCCGACCAATGCAAGTACATCCTCGACTACGGCGACGGCAGGGCCACCGCCGGGACATACGTCACCGACACGCTGACCTTGTCGCCCACCATCGCGGTCAAGGGCTTCCGGTTCGGGTGCAGCCACGCCGTGAGGGGCACCTTCAGTGACCAGACCGCCGGCGTCCTGGCCCTCGGCGGCGGCGCTGGGTCCCTCCTTGCGCAGACCGCGGAGACCTTCGGCAACGCCTTCTCCTACTGCGTCCCGCACCCGAGCTCCGATGGATTCCTCTCGCTGGGCGGGCCGGTGGGGAACTTGTCGCAGTTCGCGAGCACGCCTCTGATCAAGAACCAACACGCTCCGACGTTCTACATCGTCCGCCTGGAGGCAATCACCGTGGCTGGGAGGCGGCTCGACGTGCCGCCGGCTACGTTCGCCGGTGGTGCGGTGATGGACTCAGGGGCGGTCGTCACGCAGCTGCCACCGTCGGCATACGCAGCGCTGCGGGCAGCGTTCACGAGCGCCATGACGGCGTATGGCCCGCTTGCGGATCCCGTACGCAACCTTGACACGTGCTATGACTTGACCCGCTTCCCCGAGGTCAATGTCCCTAAGGTGTCCCTAGTGTTCGCAGGCGGTGCCACCTTGGAGCTCGAGCCGGCGTCCATCATGCTGGACGGCTGCCTGGCTTTCACGGCCTCCCCTGGCGGCCACGGCTCCATCGGATTCATCGGCAACGTGCAGCAGCAGACCTACGAGGTTTTGTACGACGTCGGCAGCGGGAGCGTGGGATTCCGCAGTGGCGCGTGCTGATGTGGCAAGCTGCAGGCCAACCACGGCCACTTGTACGTGTGATGCATGATTGCCCCCCTAATATATATCTGGGGTCTACAAGCTAGCTTGCTCATTGGGATGGAGCTAGTTTGTGAGTATAAATAAATGCAAGAAAGAAGATTGATGTAATACTTATATATGCATGTAATTTTATATAGTTTTATATATGCATGTAATTTTGTTCAACGGTTGTATGATTGTAAACCTTATAATATAACCTTACAGATTGTCAAGGAATTCAACCGATATAATTACTCTACTTATTGATGTGCAATAATGTAATATGACTAGAAGCATTCTGATTGTGGAGGTGGTTTCGCACTTTTTACTACAACAAAGGTGTTTGAAGGATTCCTCGGCAGAAACTAGAACGCACTCCTTCAATAATTGACGAGCTAATTGGTTGTTGAACTTCAGACAAAGATTGGCCTCACCAGCTCATAC